GGCTGCACGGGAGCCGGAGGGGTGCAGCGCGGAGCACAAAGGCTCTCCCATCCTGACCGCTCTGCCCTGGAAAGCAGCATGGGAACCACTGCCCAGCGAGAATCTGTTCCTCATTATCCGCCCCGGCTGCCGACGGATCCCGGCTCCGTCACCGCTCGCGGTGCAGCCCCGGCCCGCTCGCATCTCGTCAGCCGAGCAAATTCTGCACGGCTTCGGCAGCCAGAGCAGCGGGACAGACCAGGGGCAGGGCTGGCATCCCCCTCCGGAGGTGATGCCAGAGGGAAAATGAATTGTTCCCTTCGCCAGCGGGCAGAGGAGGCTTCCAGTGAGAGCAGGGAGAAGGGATGGCTGCTTCAGGTGCCAAGAGCAGGACGGCAAATGCAGAATTCAGGGCACATGTTCAGTCTGATCGTAGGTGAGAGCAAGGAATAGACTGGTATGTCTCCAAAATATTTGTACCAGATACAATTAGACTGAACACCTCTCCTGAATTCTGCATTTGCCTTCCTGCTGTTCTCCATGAAAACATGAGCATGGCCAAAGCCCCTGCCATGCTTTGTGTGAGTGAGAGATGAGGACCTGGCTCCTATTCACTCACTTCCCGCTGCTTCTACCTTTTTAAAGCAGTGTGAAAACCTCCCAAGAGGGTGTCAGAAGTGCTCCAGAAACAAAGCAGGATCAGCAACTACACACATCAGCTGACAGCACTCTTACTGCAGTGTAGAATACGCAGCTGGCAGGTTCAAGAAAATTCTATTTCTTGGACTTGGTACCTGTGAGACACAACTGGGTGCTAGTTCAAATCTGGAGCTTCCCAAAAGAATATATACATACACACGTATGTATATATACACATATATGTCAGAGAGAACCAGCTTTTAGAAGATAAGGGAGAGGGGAGTTACCAACATGCTGGCACACAGAAACCACAGCCCAACTCTCCCCAGAGAAGCACTTGGAAGAACAAGAGGTAACAGGGACAACCTGCCCTAGGGGAAAATTTACTGAGCATAAGGAGAAATTAATTCTGTGCAAGACTGGTGTAGCTGTGGTGTGGTTCTGGGACAGGGACAGTTGATGCCTCCATCCTCAGGGACATTCCAGATCCAGTGGGACAGGGCTGTGAGCTACCTGGTCTGGCTTTGCTAGCAGCCCTGCATAGAGTTGGGATTGGACCATGGGCTTCCCAAGCCTCTTCCAGTCTGAAATTTAGCTGATGCTCCAATGTGCATTGTGCAAAAGCGATGTGGTGATTTTGAGACTCACTTGTAAGATGGCCAACACCAATCCATTGCCCACAGCTCTTCCACAGAGCTGATGCCAGAGCTGCCTTACATCCCCTGCTGACTTCACAAGTTTTGGTACCGCAGAGGAATTGGAGGAGCTGAGTATTGGAGAAAGCAAATGCCTGTGGGAAAAATGTGCAGATCTAATGGTAGGCTTTAAACAGAAGCCTGGGTGCAAAATGACAGGTCTGTGATAGTCTGTTCTGGGATGGGATTGCTTACAGTCACAGTCAGAGGATTGTGTGTTCTGGGTTACAGCTTGACAAGGAGCTCCTGTGGTTGTGCCTTACTCTGTCCTGGAGAAGCAGAAGTTTGGGCACATGCATTCGTGGTTTGGCTCACTCCTTATGTTTTTCCACTGAAGCACTTTAGTATTTTTAGTCTGAAAGAGATGACTGCTATGGTGGAAGGATCAGAGCAGTCCTGTGCAGGCAGGACACTCTAAGGTGAAAAACAGAGAGTGAAGTACAAGAATAAGAACTGGCAAGGAGCCACCATCCCTGCTCACAACAAGGCTGGGGTTGAGGGTGGGAGGAAAAGGCTCTGAGCTGCTGGCTGGTGGCATGGAAAGCCTGCACACACGTCAGCTGCTAGGCTCAGATATCAGGATGAGAGGGCAGAACCAGCCCCAGCATTTGCTGAAGCTGAGAAGTCTGCTTTCCCTCCGCTGAGAACCTGAAGGCCGCAGACCCACCTCTTCCAGGAAACAACCTGGCCCACACAGCCTGGTGCACTGCCAAGGCAATTGTGGCTGCAGGCAATGCTGGCACAGAGGTCCAGCACGCAGAGCACAGCTCAGCCAGCAGCATTGTCAGTGGGATGCAAGGCAGATGGGGAATCTTATAAGGAGCAAGAGCTTCCACATGGGCCAGTGCAAAGCTAACAGGGCTAGGAGGTGCATTTTACCCTGCCAAAAAGGACCAGGGGTTAATGGTGGATGTCAGATTCAATGCAAGCCAAACATCTACTTGTGAATCAAGTAAACCACGTTTACTTTCCTTCAGGAAAAACAGTGACCAGAAGATCAAGGGAAGAACAAAACCAGCATACACCAATGCAAGGCTCCTGTGACCCCTTTAAAACATATTTTTGGCAAGGAGAGAGGACATGGGAAGATGTGGGCTCCCAGCATGCTGGTGGCTGTGCAGCCACAGCTCTGGGCAGAAGGGCCTGGTCTCTCACTGGCTGCTCCCTAGCAGAGCCTAATGATGGCTGCAGGCAAGCATCTCTTTGGAAAGAATTTCACATTTTCCAAAAACTTTATGGAAACCAGGAAATCCAGCTAGGCACATCAAGAGAGGGGGGTTGGGGCCTTGGGTGGAGAAGAACAGAGAGGCACAGGGACATGATACCTGCAAAGGAGAGCCAAACCAGGATGGGCAGAGGTACCCAGACAACAGACAGTCCAGACCACAACATCTGCTCCAACTCCAGTTTATTGAACATTACAAAATACTGTGCATATATTTTCACATTATAACAATATCATTGCAAATAATATATTAAGTCTTGAGTCATTTGTAGTGCCCATGGCTACAGAAAACACTGACCCAACTAGAGATTTAGTATGGCCCAATATCAGAAATCAAAACTAGAGTAAGTCATACCAGAAATGCAAAACTATATAAAAACCTTTTAAAAACCTCATGCTCATCTGGTGGAACAGGTACAGAGCTGAAGGGTCTCTCCTGAGCCCTGCTGGCAGGGCTGGGGGTCCCACCAGCTCACCTGCTCCACACTGGGCACATTCAGTGCATCCAAGTGTCCCCTTGGCACCTGCTGTCTCAGCAAACCCACAGAGCTGGAAAAGGCAGGCTTTTATCTGCTTGGAGCATTAACAGTCCAAGTTCCCATTTTTTCCAAAGAGGAGCAACCCACAACCCTCCTGGCTCTGCCAGTGCCCAGCCATTGTGCTCTTTTGTGGCTAAACACTTCTTGGGGAGAAATTCTTGGCCCCTGGGGTCACACCAGAAGCAATTCATCGTGTGGGCCACCAGCTCTCACCACCCTCTGAGGAGGGCACAGGGGTGGCTGGGATGCAGGTGTTGGGGACAGACGTTTGAAGATGCACGCTGCTCACACCCATCACCCCTGCTCCTGATGTACCTGATACCTGCTCCACTCCTTGCACCATGACCAGTCCTCCCAGCTGATGCACCCCAGGCAATTGGAGGGCCTGGGACGTGAGGAGAAGGGACCAAGGATGCTGTGCAAGGCAGCTGCCTCCCAGTAAATCCAGAAAGCTGAACACTGCAGCTGTTGGGAACACATCCAGGTGACAGGCGTGAGACTGGCACAGCAGGTTGGCTGTTAGAGGAGTCCCTGTGTGTACAGGTTCACTAGTCCAGCTCCTGGTGGAGCCAAACCCCAGGAGCGCTGCTCCCAGTCCTGAGAAAGTCATGGCCTTGCCTCTGTGGTGCCTCCATAACCCAGGGAACACAGGGCTGTCGTGGCAAGGAGCCTATCTCTGAGCTCCTGGCTGAGCTCCAAGCGTGCTGTGAGCACTGTGGACACCTTGAAGTCAACGGCTCAGTCACTGGGTGTGGATGGACTCTTGTGAACCACTCCTGCTCTCAGCCCTTTTCCAAGAGGTCTCCTACTCACAGCCAGGCTGGAGATCAGCTCATACTCTTACACCTGTGAGCAGCCACCACCTCAGGGCAGCACAGCCATGACAGGATCAAGTCTGTTTGGGATTCCAGCCCTGGGAGAAATATCTCTAACCTCCCAGCTGCAGAGATGTGTAGGGACCAGAGAGAAAGAATGAGGTTTGGGATCTGTGCCTCCCTGGGCAGACAGGGGCTGGTACCTGCTGTTGCAGCACAAAGACCAGTTATTGACCAGGTTTGCATCAGTAGGTGCATGGGCAAAGCACACCCTGGAGTACAGCTCCAGGAGGAGTACTGGGTTCCCCTGCCACTCCTGGAGTTTATGGAGACACACACAAGCTTTGCAGTGCAAGACAGAGCAGTCAGCAGGTCACAGCCTGTCTGCAGCTCTCAGCCCCTTCCCAATCCACAGGGTGCCTCAGAGGTGGCTTGCTCTGTTGAACATCAGCCACCTGGGCTCTGCAGTGGGTGGCATCCTGCCCTGCTCCTCTGTGGCCATCAAAGGCTGCAGCTCCTGCTGCTCAGGACCGTCCGGGCTGCTGTCACTCTGTGACCGGCCGCTCTTGGAGACATGGCTGGGGAACTGGAAGCAGGAGCTCTGCTCTGGCATCGCCTGGCTTGCAGACTGGGGTTGCTCCTCCAGCACAGGGCAGGCAAATCTCCTGTGCTGAGGTCCGCTCTCGATGCCTGGGGGGGAAGCGATGCTCTCCAGGGAGGAGATGCTTTGGTTCCATGCCTTCTGCATATCCACTGGCACAATTTTGGTGGTCTCCGAGGAGACATAAACAGCCAGATCAGCCTGGTCTCCTTTCCATGGCAGCTCCTTCTCTGCCAAGGTGGGCGATGGAGGGATGATGCAAGGGCTGGGGCAGACATCCAGGCTGCCTGGAGATGCAGATGGAGGGACAGTGAGAGGGAGCTTGCACAGCTCTCAGTCTCTCCTTGGACCCTGCAAACATTGCAGAACCAACCACTACCAAATGGCCATAGAATCCTAGAATATCCTGAGTTCGAAGGGACCCACAAGGATTATGGAGTCCAACTCCTTGCCCTATGCAAGAAAACCCCAAGAACCACACCGTGTGCTGGCCCAGGGATGCAGGACACAGGGAGGCTCTGTCATGCCTCCAGAGGACAGTGATTCTCCCATTCATGCTCTGTTGACTTTGGTTTTGCCTAGGCCAAGGCAGTTTTGCTCCACAGGCAGAGGAAGGACAAGCTACCCAATGGCAGCTGCCCCAGCATGAAGCATTGGTGCCTACCAGGAGTTGTCTTTCCCTGCAGGACCTCATCAGTGGCTCGCGCAACAAACACAATCCCCTCATCGTCCTCTTTCTCCGTCTCTGAGCTATCGCTCTCCTCCTCCTCTGAGCTGACCATCACCAGGACAGGAGCTGCAGGCAGATGGAGGGGGTCGGTTTGGTGCTAGCACAACCCTGGGTGATGTCATCCCACCGAGCTGGCAGTGGGCAGGCACAGCAGGTGCTCCTATCCCACACCACCAGGTCCCCTTGCCAGGACCTGCCATCCTCACCTGCCACTGGCCTTACCTGCATCCTGCCAGGGGACATTTCTGTGCGTCTTCCCGTTGGGTGCCTCTTTGGTCAGAGATATGTTCTTCTGTGAAAGAAGAGGAACTGGCTGGGACCTGCCCTGTGCAAAGCCCTAAACCCAATAGGGGATTCTGCGAGCCAGCCAACATTGGGCATGCAGATTCCCACCCTGGTTACATGGCAGATGGTTTCTAGTCCTTAGGCTTTGCATCTTCATAGCCCCACAATGAACTGCTCAGCTGCAATGGCTTCAAAAACCTCCAAACAAAAGAAGATACCTAAGGCTCAATTTAAGGTGCAGTGCCACAATTCTGAGCCTGGATCTGCACCAACATTGAGGTTGTTTTATGCTGAGTGTTCTTGCAAAACAAACCTGTGGCTCTTCCAGGGCTTTGCTCAGTGAAGAGCCACCCCACAGCACTGATGGCATGCTGGGGACACATGGACACACAACACCTGAATGCTCACATGAGGCATCAACAGGACTGAGAAGAAATGAGATGCTTTCCCCTCTGGCTCTGGAGCTGTTGATGCCCTGCAGCACCTCACTTACGCCCCAAAAAGGACCTCTCTTACTGCATCCTGGGGTGGCCAAATCTCAGAGCTAGGAAAAGAACAGGAGCTTGGGGAGGACTTGCCTTTTTCCTGCCTTTTTCCTTCAGCCTGGCCTTGCTCTTGGAGGAGCAGACATTGTGCTTTGTGGACTTGAAGGTCTCCAGACGCCTCTTCATGTTCTGCCGGAAGATTTCTTTATCTTGGCGCTCTTGTTTATCTGGAGAGATGAAGTGACGGCTGTAGCTGGCCTTGTACTGGCCGAGGGAGAGGCAAAGAGACACAGGGTGAGCAGCTGGCCCCACAGAGCACTGTCCACCCCTGCTCCTCTTGTGGGTGCTGCTCCCCTTGGGGTCAGCCGCACGCCGTGGCCCGGGAGTGCTCACCCGCCGGCGGGGCTTGTAGAGGCTCCCCCGCAGCACGTGGTGCATGGCAGCATCCTCCTTGTCCCGGCGGCTCCGCACCGTGTCGATCACCTGCAGGTCCAGGCATGCGCCGCTCCCGCTCTCCCTCCTGCAGGGAGATGGACGGGCTGGGCTCCCTGCCCACCTTGTGCCAGCCCCCTGCCAGCCCTGGTGCAAACCACCCCCAGGGACGAGGGCAGCTGTGAGGTCTAACGAGGCCTGTTCAGGAGCTCAGAGGGATGGTTGTACTCACAGGAGGTTTGTGACTGATGACTCTGACATGGACGTGCGGCTGGGCATGGAGGGCAGCGCCAGCTTGGCAGCTGAGAGCACGTGGCCACCCTAGGAGGTGGGAGGACAAGGCTGGCATCAGGACAGCAAGGACCCAGCTGGGATGGGCAGGTCCCCATTGCCTGGCCAGAGGGTGAACATGTGGCCATACATGAAGGGAACCTCTGCTGCCAGGACCATCCTGCCACCTGGACACCACTCCTGCCTGTACCTGATCAACAAAGCTGATAGCATCACGGATGTTCAGCTTGTAGTAAACATCCCAGATCTCATCCCGCAGCCTGTAGGCAGATTTCCGCATCAGGAGCTGGCTCAGGTATTTCTTGTCAAACTGCTCCCACCTGCCATGAGATGAAGACACAGTTTAGCTTCCACAGGCTACCATGGCCAGGGATATCTACCCAGACAAGGCTGAGCATCCCAAGTATGGTGAAGGGAGGCTGGGCATGCAGGACCTGGCTGTGCACAGGGACACACTGCCAGGGAGGGGACATGGTGACCCTTCAGCCTGCCCAAGAGGAAGCCAGACACCAGCGGGTCTGTGGGAGGCAGTGGGAGTAGAACTGGGGCCACCCTGCTGGAGCACTTCCCCTGCAGGAAACAGGCTTTTTGCATCCTTTTCCTGTCCCTGTGCTGCAGATAAACACTGCCCAGGCAGGAACAGGGCTGTTCCTTCCTCAGTGCCCAGATCAGTTCCATCCATGAGGAGGCAGAAAGCCATTGCCAACATGGACACCCCAAGTTCTGACCTTGGCAAGTAATGCCAGCTCCACAGCATCCCCAGCCATACCTGCCTAACCTCTCTCTGTGATGCTTTTGTGATCCTGGTCTGCTGCACAATAGCAGCCAGATGGTACTATGCAGACTGATGGGCAGACATAGAGGCTTCCTGGTCCTGCTGCCCTGCCCACAGCAGGGGTGTCCTCCTGTGAGAACCCCAGCATGTCCCTGTGGCTGGCATGTGTCTCCCATTCACTAACAGTCAGCAGAGGATCCAGTCCAAGACACTCACTTGTCCCGCCAGTAGTGGTAGCCGTGGTGCCCCACGATGTCCTCCACCGCTGCCAGGATGTGGTCAAAGGCCTTGAGTGAGGGGAAGAGGGTGAGTGGTGGCAAGGCTGTGGGTGCCCCAGGTGCCAAGGTGATACATGGCCCTTGCCCAGCCCCACGTGTGAGGGAGCCCAGCAGCCTCTGGCGCTATCACCTACGTGCTCATGCAGCTCCTCGTTCAGTGTGGGTTTGTGGTGGTCACTGCGCTTCACCTTCAGCCACGTCACCAGGGGTTTGATGGTGAGGCCCTAGAATGGCAGGAGAAGGCAAGGGAAAGACTGGGAGGGCGAGAGGGTGCATGGCTGGGGCATAGGGAGCAGAAGCAGCATGAAGTGACTGGGGACAGTGGCTGTGTCAGCCATGCATGCCCCTACCAACCCGACCCCTGTGCCATGGTGTACACCCCCAGCCATCATTTCCCTAGACTTATATTCATCCCGTGGCTTCCCGTGGCTTCCCTTCCCAGGGCACTGAAGCCCAGAGCTGGGGCCCATCAGCAGCTTTGTAAAGAGGGCAGCCTGGACAGGCATGCACTCCTGGAGCTCCTGGAGCCAGTCCCAGAACAAAATACCAGCAGGAAAAGAATGTGGGCCACGGCCCCACCATCGCAACAGTCGCCACAGCAGTCCTGCACACCTGCTGATGGATGGTGTGCTAGAAAGCACCGAGGACCAAAGGTCACTTGAAAAAAGATACCTTCCCAAAGCACATGTCCCCAGGCCAGTTCCGGGGCAAGAAAGCACCACGGGAGGAGGGCACAGTGCCCATCCTCACCTGTACAATGACAGTAAAGAACACCACCACGATGGTCGTTGCCACGAAGTAGTCCTTGGCTTTCACCTTTTCCCTGTCCAGCAGGATGACCAGGGCGAAGGCCACGGCCCCACGGAGGCCACCATATGACATGACCACCTGGTCGATCCTGTCCAGGGGGATGAGGCGGAAGCGGTTGAGCACGTATGTCTGGAGAACAACACCTGGGGAAGAAGAAGGAGAGCCTGGAATGCTGGGAGAACCCTGCCTGCTCCAGGAGACAGCACAAAATCCCAGCCAGGATCCATGTCTGGCCTTGTGCCCCAAGCTTTCCTGGGCAATATCCCTTTTTGGCATGAAAAGGGCTGTGTGCTACCAGCCACACACATAGCAGGACAGACTGACCCACGGCTCTGAAGAGCAGGATAAAGAACAGGGTGCCCAGCACCAGTGCCGTGTCCCATGTCCACTTGGAGGTGTCCACAGCCGAGATGCCCAGAAACATGAAGATGATGGTCTCTGAGCTGCTGGCCAGTGTCTTCATGGTGTACTTGACTGTGGTACGGGATTTCTGGGAGATGTTGGCTTCCACATACTTCTTGCAGCAGATCCCACAGAAGGTGACTCTGCAGAGGGGCAGAAGGAGCTGGCATGGACCTACAGCGGGATGAGGAGTGGGTCTACTCACTGCCTCTTGCTGCTCAGCACTGCAACCTCAATCTCCTGGCTTCCCCTGGGGGACACCGCAGTACTCACGCCAGGATGGCGGAAAGCGAGACCATCTCGGCAGCAAGGTACGCGACGTAGGCCAGGAGGAAGACGAAGAGCGGCTCGATGATGCGCACGCGCTTGGTGAACCGCGTGATCAGGGCCAGCAGGAAGGCGAAGAGCAGCCCCACGGCTGTGCCCCCCAGGCTCACCAGGAAGAAGGAGGCTGATGGGAGGAGAAGTCTCATTTGAACCATAAGCAAGTGGGCCCAGCTCCTGTGCCCCACAGCCATGCTGTGCTGGGCTGGCCAAGAGCCATGTTTCCACCCAGGTCCCCTCCAAAGCATCTCATGGAGCACAAAGCTTCAGATGATCCCAAAGCATTCCCTGGAGCACCTCTGTTGTGGGAATCAGCTGATAGAGTAAGGATTGTTCAGCCTGGAGAAAATTCTGGGGTGACCTCCCCAGTAGCTAAAGGATACTCCAAAAGAGCGGGAGAGGGACTTGGAGAGGGATGTGGAGTGACAGGACAAGGGGGAATGGCTTCAAACTGACAGAGGGCAGGGTTAGATCGGGTATTAGGAAGAAATTCTTCCCTTTGAGGGTGGTGAGGCCCTGGCACAGACTGGCTGTCCCCTCCCTGGAAGTGTTCATGGCCAGGTTGGGTGGGGCTCTGAGCAAGCTGGTCTAGTGGAAGGTGTCCCTGCTCATGGCAGGGGGGCCTGGAACAAGATGGCCTTTAAGGTCCCTTCCAGCCCAAACAATTCTGCAGTTTTGTGCTGATGGCTGGCATGTGACACATGGAGATGACAGAGCTGTGGTGCTCAGTGCCCACCCCACAGGACAATGGCTCCTGTGCTTGCCCCCCTCCACTTCCAAAAGAGAGGAAGAGGTGGAGGGGCTGGAATGGCAATTACTCACCTACCCCCTTCACGTAGTCTGTGGCGTGGATATGCGCTGGGCCCAGCTCCACAAAAGAGTTGAAGACCTTGTATAGCACCTGCAGGCAAGGCAAACCCCTTGAGAAATGCAGGGCATTGCCCTGCCTTGAGAGGGGCAGGAAGGATCCTGTGGAAGAGGCATTTTCCACCCCAGACCTGTCCAGCAACAGATCATTTCAGCAGGCAAAGTCTACCAGGGCCAGGAGACAGGAAAGGCCAAGAGAGTATGGCATGGGTCTGCCCCCAGCTCAAGGATGTCACCTGCATCCTCTGCCCATCCTGGGGAATTCCAGCACCTTGGACCATGTTGGGCTCAACATTAGAGTCCCACAAGCTGCAACTCACCACGGTGACAGCATCATTCAGGAGAGACTCGCCAAACACAATGATGAAGAGGGTCTCATTAACATGGACCTCTTCGAAGACAGCCAGGACTGCCACAGGGTCCACAGCTGAAATCAGGCTGCCAAAGAGCAGGAAATCCATCAGCCCAGCTTCAACACCTGGATCTGTTAGGACAGAAGGACCAAGGTCAGGCAAACCAGCCACCCCAGAGCCCCTCTCACCAGGTGGAAATAAGCCTATCCCTCATCTGATCCAGTGACTTGGCTGCAGCACCTCAGCTGGCAGTGCAGTAGGAGAAGCCCAAAAGTGTTCCCAGACCTCCAGGATGCCCCTGGAAAAGTGGGACTCAGTGCATTCTTGTTGCAACATGAGAGAAGCATGAGGGATGTCCCTGTTGGCACCCAGGTGCATCACTGCTCCTCCAGCAGGTACCATCAAAGGTGGCTCAGCAGCCCCACCTCAGGTCCAGGCATCAAGTGGCTCCTCAGGGCTCAAGAGAGCTCAAAACACAGCCCAGGCCAGCCAGGGCCAGTGGCTCCAGCCAAGGACAGGGAACATGGCAGCGAGCCAGCAACGCTAGCCAAGGTCAGCAGACAAAAATAGCAAAGACATGAGTCAGCCCAGTGCCAAGCAGGGCCCGTCTGTCCTGCACGCTTGACCGTCCTGCCAGAGCACCATTCCCAGGATGTCAGGACCCTGCTCGTGCTGCAATTCCTAGGAATCCACAGCAGGGAGAGGCAGTGGGCTATGAAATTGGGGGTGCTCTGCACCTCCAACCTATTTTTTGGGGATGTGGTTGAAGCTGGGCAGCCCTGCACACCTACCCATGAGCCCGGCCCGGTGCAGTCCCCAGAGCGCGGTGCCAGTGGCGAAGGAGTTCCAGAGCGTGCCCACCACTGCGTAGGTGAGGATGGCACCGATGTTGTCAAAGAACAGCCGGCTGGGCATGAAGTACCCCGAGTCCAGGACAATGGGGGGCAGAAGGAAGAGGAAGAACATGTTTGGCTCCAGCTGGTACTCAGCTTTCTTTGCCACAGCCAGTACGATCCCTCCCAGGCCCAGCCCCAGCAGGATGAGAAGGCAGCTCTCCGGGACGACAGATGTCACCTTCCTTGACAGGTGGAAAACTAGAAGAAAAAGAAGTATGAGAGCATCAGCCAAACAGGCACATAGACAGAGTATCCCAAATCCACAGGCTTCACAGAAGTGTTAGGTGATGTATGATGGATGGGAGGAGAACAAGGGAGCACCTATGGAAAGGCTGCTTCATGGCCACATGTGCACAAAAGACCTTCCAGCTACCTCCCAGGTCAGGATTTCAGGTCCCTGACTCTTTAGGATTTCCCTCTCCGTCTCAGCTACTGTCTAATAAGCCAATCAGCCAGGCATTTTACTTTTCTTGGCTTCTGATATCTGCACTTAAAGGTTTAAAACAGGCAGTGAGCACGTTCACAGTGTCACGAGCACTGCTGGCTGCTGTTCAAGTGAAGAAATCCTGGTACACTGGGACGTGTTACCCCACTCGGAGACGAGGATGCTCAGCCCTGGTGACAGGGTGACCTTGTTTGCATCCATCTGAGCAAGCAGCCAGAGCAGCATGCAAACCACTGCAGCACAAGCCATGCCTGAGCACAATCTCCCTCAGCACCAGCTAACCTACCTGCATGCAAAAACACAGGCACTTGGGAGCTGCAGATTTAGAGATGCTTGGAATAATCAGTTTATTCCATGCAAGGTTTGGGCCAAATCTTAAGCTGCCGTGGAACAGGATGTATTTTCTAAAGCAAGCAGAGGATGCCCTGGTATTCATCCATCAGTAATGTGGCAGTGAGCCTGTGCTCAGGCACAAGCCAGCAGGATGCCACGCCAGCCAGCACAGGGGATTTGTTCCTCCAGGTACCCTTGTGCCCCACATCAGGGTGTCCTGTGTAATCCTAAATCAGTCCAGCTTCCAGGAAGGCAAGCCCCCCATCCCTGGGGCTTTCTCCTCACTAGCATAAGGTGCTTTATTTTTGCTGCCCCTCCAAAAGGGCATTGCTTGGGGAAAGGCTATTGAGGTCACAGTGATTTTGTCCCCCCATCATGGAGTTCTGCCATCACTTGTGACATCCAGCATCTGTCGCATGACAACCATCAGATGAAGAAATATCCTGAGGAGTGGGCTCCTCTAGGCACTACGAGAGCCACCTCTGTCCTTGTGCACCCAGCAGGTACAAGGGACATCAGGGTAGGCTCTGAGCCATCACTTGGCTGCAAGCCCAGCCCAGCTGCCAACCCCAAAACCCAGTCCCTAAAGCCCTTTAGCTGGACTAAAGGTGCCCACTGCTTGTGCCAGGCTACCTCTCCAGAAGGAAAGTTGTGCTATGGTCGTGCACCAACTCTGGGTCACGCAGCTGCTTCCCTCCTCTGGAATTATGGACAGACCATAATGCCTAGCCCAGGAACTCCGGGTCTCCAGTGGTGTAGACCTGGAGAGGAGCCCAGGAACAGGCAGTATTTCATCAGTAGGTTTCCATGTCTCTATGCCCTTGTCATTTTCCTCTGAACCTGTGCCGGTCCTGCTCTATCCTGGGACAGATCCCAGTGTCCCTGAGATGTGGACAGCCAGAGAACTGAGGCTGTGGCTTCCTGATGCTCTTCCTTTCTCCTTCCCAGCACCTCTTAGGTGATTTTCTTTCCTTTACCATGGCTGAGCTCTGAATTAGAGGAGATAATTCAATGACAAAGATCTGGTTCACAACCAGAGACAACATCGTTGAGCCCATCACTCAATGTGCAGGCTAAGGGCTGCTTTTCCCTTAGTTGACGACCTCAAGAGGTTTCAACTTGGCACAGTAAGCCCCATCCATGCCCCAGCACTGGCTCCCTGCCACAATACAGCAGGAGCACTGCTGCAGCCAGCAGGGGCAGAGCAGTGAGCACAGGGGCAGCGTGATCTGCAGCTCCATCACCAAGCACCTCAATAGGAAAGAGCACCCAGGCCAAGCCTGTGCCATAGCCCTGCCGCTGAACACCCCAGCCACAGAGCCTGGGGCACCCCCCTCAGCCCCAGCCACCTCTGCTCACTGCTATGGGCTGCAATACAGCCCTGGAGACCGTGGTGATATGGACACTACAGCCCTCCAAGCAGACCCACAGCCTGAGGAAAACCTGGCTGGGCTTCATCCAGGTCAAATTCCTGCAAAATGACTGCACAAGTCACTGCAGGGCCCTGTTCACCCCACATAAGCTGCCTTCACCCGTGGACGAATGGTGCTCACTCAGCGCCTGCAGCAGGCTGTGAAGCCGCTTCCCACCCACGGGAACAAAGCTCTGAAGTTTTCAAGAAGGGAACGAGGCGTCCAGCCCCTTTCTGCATTCTCAGGAACATTGCCAAAATCCCTGCTCTCTGCTTCGGCAACCCATCTGCATTCCCCATGCTGTGGAGCTATGTCCTGGCTGGCTGGAGGGACCCAGGAGAGCGCGCGGGGATGTTGTGGGGACATGGGTCCTGGCTGCCATCCATCATGGAAGTGTTCAAGGCCAGGTTGGATTTGAGCAACCTGGTTTAGTGGAAGGTGTCTCTGGCCATGGAAGGGTAGTTAGAAAAAGATAATCTCTAAATTCCCTTCCAACTCAAACCATTCTATGGTTCTATGATTGTTTTCACCAAGCCAGAAACTTGGTCAAATAAAGGAGAAGCATCAATGGGAAAGATCACGCTTCAAAAATGTCCTGGCTGATGGGGAAAGCTGCCACCCTTCCCAGGAAATGGCAGCACATGAGCTCCCCTGTGTCACAAGGAGCAGCCAGTGGGGACAGACTGAACGAGGTCTAATTTTATACACACTAGTCAAGGATTTCAGCACTAAAGGTTCCCACAGCAACAGTAACTTAGCCACATGTGAATTAACTTCAGAGACATAATCCATACTCAGGCATCCTTAATAAAGGATTTGCCACTGAGATAACTCGGGGCCAAAACCTGCCTCCAGGGCTTGGGAAATGGCAGAACACCTAAACCAAGACATGAGCAGCTGGAGACAGAGGTGATGGTGCAAGGAGAGATGGTTACAACCCATGACAGTGCTGCTGCATAAAAAACCATCTGTCTGCTAGCAGACTCCTGCCCGTGGGGCAGCTACATGTAAGGAGAGTGTTTGGGGCAATGCTTATCAGCTCTGTGTTCCCCACACCCTGTGCTCTGACTGTGGATGGAAAAGGCAGCAAAGCCCGGATGATGCCTCGCTGTGCAGGAAGGCAACACCCAAGCCAGTTTTTCCCTGCCCCGGGTGTTTGCTGGCTTGGGTCACCCCAGCATCGTGACTGCCTCTGAGAACAGAGCCCGCAGTGTCATTTCCCCATCACCCGGGCATGGGGCCGCTTCCTCCCCTGCAGTCATAGGGCTGTGAGCTGGCAGCCCAGCGCCACCACCACAACGGGTCCTCTGCGCCAGCCTACGCCCAGCGTCCACGGCTGCCACAGCTGGCTCTGCCCTCTCCACTCCCCAAAATCCTCCACCCCTGGTTCATCTCCTCTGTGGACTCCTGTGCACCCTGGGGACTGCACGTGCCATCTCTGGCACCCATGGCAGGGTGCTGCCTGCAGCAGTGCCTCCAGGTCTGGGTGTCGCTGTTGGCTCCAGGCTCTGCGAATCCATTGGACCCACGGGATACACTACCAGCAGCTTGAAGCTATCAGCCATCAGGGCTGTGTCTCACAGACAGAGGAAACT